TAAGTTTCTAGTCTTGCAAAATTAGGGAAAAACCCTTTTATAATTTAATTAGTAATTAGTTAGTAGTAGATAAAAGTTAGCTAAAACATTGTTCCCTGTGTTCGATACCTGTCTAATGTGTTATACAATCTTCAACAAGGTACACTGCCTTAGGAAATATTTAGTCACATTAGTAGGATTAACTAGTGCTTATTATTTTACGCATCAGAGTGTTTTTTGTTAATTTTTTAAAAAATTTCTTGTAAATTTCACATTTGAATCTCAAAAGATAGAATCACATGTGAATATCACATTATATAATCACATGTGAATCTTACATGATATAATCACATGTGAATCTTACATGATATCTACGTATGCATTTTTGTGAGTGTGCTTTTATTAATCATTTTTTTTAATTTCTTGTGGATTTGGAAGAATTTGTGGAAAATACTGAAGAGGTGGAAGGTGATAAATTGAAGAAAATATGGCAATCATGACAAGAAAACTTGAAAATGCTTTGAAAATTTGTAGCATTTTTTGTTTTTTATATTTTATTTTGTACCGAATAAAATACTTGTACTATTGTGTTTGTAGACTTGTGAAACTTTCCATTTTCACAACCAAAAATTTTCATTTTTATTTAAGTAAAGCTTCCCATTTATAAATTCATTTTGTAGAAAACTGTTTATTCCAAATACATTTATTTAAAATCAGAGTAATATTGACGCACGAAATCTTCATTGTTGTTGATGAATGTGTACAGTCACGCCTTCGCCTTCCCATGACGACCGAAGATACCTGAAACAATAAACAACTGAGTAAGCACAAACATTAGTAAGTTTCCCCCAAACAACCCCATATGATAAACATACCAGCAAGCATCGAGTCCACTCAACCATCGGGATGTGTAACACCTCGTTATTTTCTTCTTGTAAGTCGAACCAATCAACCAAACGTCAGTCTTAATTCTATTGCCTTCTAGCCTTGTTAAGGGTCATTCTAATGAGTTCTAAGCTTAGTACACTTAAGGACTGAGTGTTAGGAAGTAATAGCTCGAGATCAGAAGGCTGCACCCGAACTAGAAAGCCAACCACATGGGGTTTACGGCCGTAAACTCCATTCACGGCCGTAAACACCCTCCTGGCCGTAAACTCCTTCCATAAGAATGATATCCCATCATTTTTCATCATTTCTCACAATTTCAAGTCAAGAACTTCCATTCTCTCTCAAGTATCATCAAGGATATCCTCCTTGATCTTCAAAAGTGTAGGTTATTCTTCCGTTATTTCTTGATATCCTTCTTGATTTTGTGGAACCCTTTGATTTCATCCATGAATTCATCACTTTTTGGTCTAGATCTTCAAGATCATCATCTTTCACCAAGAACACCAAGAACACACAATTGTTCTTGGTGGCCGTGAACTCCTAAACACCTCAAAATCGTAAGAATTCTTCCATATTCTTGTTATACACTAGAAACCCTTGCATTCTCATGAGACAAACACCCTACAAGCAAGAAGCAAGATCCAAAATGCATCATTTTGGAGTGTTTACGGCCGTAAACACTTGGTGTGGCCGTAAACTCTCCCTTGGCCGTTACACCTTGAACGTAAACACCTTGGCCATAAACACCAAGGCCGTGAACACACTTGTGTGGCCGTAAACCCCTTTGATCAATCACATGTGATTGTAACACTTACTTACAAGTGTTTCCTAGTCCATAAGGTAGTTTCCTTGCATGTTAGTTGTGTTAAACACTAATTTCATGCCATTATAATACATTTAGGTCTCGTTTGTGTCTTGGGAATTCATTCGTGGAACTTCTCGTCCTTACGCGAATCTTCAATTGAATCACCCACATAAGGTGAGTTCATACCCCTTTAATCTACATTTTCAAATGATTTTTAATGTTTTTAGGGGGGAATACAAGTTGAACACAATTGTTAAATTGTGTTAATAACTGTATGTGATATCAATTACACAAAGGATTTTCTTATGCTTTTAAGGATTACCAAATACTTTCAAAATGACTTAAAGTCATGTTAAATCTTTAAAGTCATGCAAACTCTTTTTGAAACACTGTTAAAACTCTTTTAATACTTTTAACTCTTTGAAAAAGGTTTTATAAACTATTTCATAATATAATTGTCAAAATCATGTTCATATATGTATAAGTATATAAATAAGACTTAAAGGGCTTAGGACTAATGAGTTGCCTTATCTCATTTTCCTTATTTGGATGTGGTTTAAGGTGAGGATATTTGTCCGAAGGTCATTTCCTTCTTAATTATATACATTATACATGTGGGAATATAAAAGGTTACTTCAGTCGGTATCATTACCTTTGTATCATGCTGTGCAAAAGGGATACTTTCAGGATAGATCATGCTAATCAGATAGAACGTATAAATTATAATAGGTATAATTTATGAAACATACGAGAAATTTATTTTTCCTAGATAAGTATATGAGGTCTAAACTACATTATCAAGAAAAATGATATAATTCGATCTTTATTCAAAGTAAAATGTCATGGTACGTATTCAGGACATAGCAATACTTGCTATGTTATATTCTTGTAACCAGAGTCTCCTGGAGGAAGAGCGGGCATTGTGTGCATAGATATATATGGGACCGACAATCCCACATCCCGACTGCTAGCTACAGTTCGACAGACCAGCCATGAGGTGACAAATGTCACATATTCAGTTTCGACACCAGTAGGTCGTCGTGTTCATTCTAGTCCAGCATGGTTACAACTTTATCACATTTTAAACCCTAATTAACCAGGTTAATATTAGGGTAGTTATTCACCAGTAGTTTGTTCTTTTTAAGAAATACTACTGTAGTATTCACTTTCCATAATCAAAACGGAACGGTTTTATGGGGATTTAAAACCACTTTTTACCATTAAAACGGAAAACATTATTTTCATAATTTTATGGATAGTTAAAATTATGTTAAACCTTATTATAAGTATAATATTACTTATATGGAATAGTTTTATGGAATTAAAACTACTTATCAGTTGTAAAACAGAAAATATAAAAGTTTCTGGAACGTCATAATTCGTTCAATTAAAACTAGTATAACATAAAGGACCTTAAATGGTTAATTTTATAATTCCTTAGTTTATACAACAGAGTTATACATAATTAATATCCGACTGACAGTGAAATGTGTGACTTCCGCCTTACTTTCTGTTCCTTGTTTGGTTGTGGGCTTAGGTCAGATTCACACATTTAACTGTCAGTTCGATATTAGGTTATATATGACTAGTATAAACTAAGTAATTGTAGAGGGAACTATTATGCACTACTAGAAAACAGCCTTTTAATGACGCGCAAACAATGACACGCGGTGATTTACGATACGCAAAAGCGTGTGCCCTAAAAATAATGTCATCTCTTCTAAAATTTGAAGGATAGAGGACACGTTTTTGTACGTGCCCTAAAATTAATGTCCGACAAAAAAATTAAAAACACGGAGGGCACTTACTTAAAAATGGGTGTCGTCTAGAAATGTCGCTTTATATTTTTTTAATGAAAGGCGCGTTCTCTTCTTTTGCAGCTGGGGGGAAACGAAAATCCCAAAACTTTGAAAGGTATCCATTGTTATCATCTTTTGCCTCTCCTCTTCCTCTCACACTTCATCTTATTTCTCCCTCTTCACAAAAACCAGCATCTCTCCCTTAATCGAGGTAGCTTTTAATCCAAAATTTCCCGCATGATACTATTTCACTTATGTGTCGCTAGCGTTCTCCTCCAAATCCTTACTTTTTAATTGGTCCGACCATATGCTGGACTTCGCTTCCATTCTAGGGTTTTGTTTCTCTCTTTCTCTTGAACACCGTATGATTCATATTTATTATCTTTTCTTTTTACATGATTTGAAAGAACGAAGATTGTATATTCCACTTCATTTGATTCTTGCCTCTTTTCAACAAAAATTAGAGTTTCAATTTGGAATCCAGTTCATGAGGTCTGCTTAGATATTGGTCGTATTTCGTATTAAACTTTCAATTTTTCAACCCTTTTCACTTTAATCCATCTTCTAGCATTCTCTTCATGTGAATATATGTTGAAGCCCTATGTTTATTCTCTTTTCTTCATCATGTCTGGAATCGATCCAAGTAAAGGGCTAGAACCCTAATTTCATTTCTAACTCTGTATTTTGAAAGTTTTTTTAATCAGATGTTGCACCTAATAGTTCGTCCCTTCTCTTCCAAATATGACTTTAGTTTGTGTCTTTGTTATGTGATTTTGGTAAAACTTTCTCATTTTATGTAGCTACTTATCTTATTAAACTATAGCCCTATTTCTAAATAATATTTATTTGTTTTTTGGAAGCAGTTATCATGTTAGCTAATTGGAGATTAGGATTCGTCTTAAAAGAGGATAAGACAAGAGAAAACCTTGAATTTAAGGTTCAAGGGAGGAGCCCTAGGAAACGAGAGAAAAGAATTCCGATGTGTCGTTTGGGGGGAAGGCGGTGTAACCTACATCAATCGATGATTCAACCCATTTTCTAATAGGCGCTTGAAACAAAGCAGGAGGTAGCGTTCCATGGAAATGATTGACAAAGTTGTGCTTCCCTCCTCCAATCGAAATGCTTTGGACTACTATTTTTTAACGCATACGGTGCTCATAGCTTCTCTATTGATCAGGGTAAGCTAACGTCTCTGCTTACCCTTTGTTGCCTCAAACCTTCTTCATGATGACAGTTTCAGAATCGGGACAGGTGTTTGGGAGTTGATTTCCATATTCTTCATAAGAGTGGTAATAACCAAGAGAAGAAATATGGCAAAGAAGGATGAAACAGAAAGTATGGAAAAGAAGATAGAACTCCTGGAAATAACTAAAAGGATAGAATTTCATGTTCTGAATATGTTAATTGAACTTTAAGTCGCCACACATGTAGTTATGAAACTAAGATTCTTGGTTCTAAATTAAAGTTATAATAAAATCATCGATCCTAACATCTTAAATCTTTATTACAGAAAACTTTTGGGAGAAGGTATGGGATCAAGCACCATTGATGAACTACAAAAGCTTGAACAACAGCTGGAGAGGAGTGCATCCATCATTCGTGCTCGAAAGGTTGACTTTTATCACAGAAAAGAATAAGAAGTTGACTCTCAAATACGAATTTTCATTCAACCAAGCTTGAAATTCTTTGATTTATTTTGACTTTAATTGTTGGTGTTTCAGATGCAAGTATATAATGAACAAATTCAGGAACTACAAGCAAAGGTACAATACTTAAATACAAGTATAGAATGAACAAATTATGTTTTTTTGTTCATATTTTTTCTCTAGTATATTATACCTTGTGGAAGACAGTTTAATAATCATTTCTTCTAATTTCAAACCAATAAAATGACACAAGTTATTTATTTTCTAATTTCAAACCAAACTAATGGATCCGTAGTGAAAGATTGTCGACTCGTTAAATAACAAAAAATGGTCGCAATTTAATCTTTCTAAATATACAGCCATCAAAAATGGATGATTGAATGTATTTAGTTTTTTAAACTTTTTTAAACTTTTTTGAGTTATTTTAGATTCTGTTGTTCGCTTAATTCAGATTCTGGGACAAAAAGAGTCCCAGGGGTGTTTTTGGAATATTTAGTTTTTTAAACTTTTTTGAGTTATTTTAGGAGTTTAACTCTTTTAGTATATTTTGGAACTAGGCCTTAGATGCCTTTTTTACCTCTACTTTACAGGTTCAGTATCAGATGCATCCATCACTTTCAGAGTTTCCTTCCAACAGTTTTTACGAAGGTACCCTCCAAAATGGAGTGACACTCAATGACAGACAATCACCAGGAATCGATTTTCCCTGGCCTGTGCCAAACTGTCCTATGTTCTTTTATGTCCAGGTATCTGCATGCTTTCCGTTCATATGTATACCTTTTACACTTGTAAGCATCAGCATCAGGTTGTTACTGCTTCAGAATTTTTCCATGCCTTAAGTATACTCTCGCGTAACTAATGCAAGTTATAACTAGTAGGGGTACCCTGATTACAGGGACCAAAATTGTAACTAATGAAAGTTATAGCTAGTAGGGGTACCCTGATCACAGGGACCAAAATTGTAACTAATTCAAGTTATTAATTATATGGACTGGAACTGTAGTTATCGAAATCGAAACTAAAAATCATAGGTATTAAATCTACATATTCAAAACTATATTATAGGGACTAAAACTATACCTATATTAAATTAACAACTACAGGGACCAAAAATCTAATTGATATAAATTATAAACTGCATGGAATGAAATATATTATTGAAATAAAAAACTACATTGGGTAAATCTATAGTTACTGAAATTTAAAACTACAGGGACCAAAAATGTAGTTATTAATCCAGGGAACTAAAACATGTTACTATTCCATTAATCCAGGGACCATTTCTGTAATTTCATACTACAATTCGGGGACCATTTCTGTAATTTCATATTATAGAATGATTAGCATCCTCAACCTTTCATTTTTTGTTTTCTATTACAGCATTGTACTCTCAATTTTTCTTCTCACAGGGAAAATTAGTCTGACAGCAAGCAATGGAAACACAGAAGTTTACCTGAATGGAAGAGAAATCACAAAACTTGAGCTGAAAGTGTTGAATGTAGGTTAGATAGTATTTTTGTTAAAGTTGTTTGGTGAGTGATATGGAAATATATTTAACATTTGTTGTATTGATTTGTTTCAGATGGCAAGTGTGCAATGTCCTCAAGACACACATTTATGGGTTTATGATGATGGGTGTTATGAGGAAGAAGGTCAGAATAATATCAAGGGAAATATTTAGGAAAAGTTATTTATTGTATTATTATATATTATCTATTATCTATTATTATTATGTAATGTATGATATTTACATATGTTGTAAAAAAGTATGGTGGATAAAATGGCTTTTTGGTATTATGTAATGTATGATATTTACATATGTTGTTCTCGTTTACTGTGCCACAAGGTCAGCCACAAAGAGAAAGGGATGAAGCCAATAATTACACAACTGTTCCAAATTACTTTGACCCCCAGAAGATTCAAAAGCTTTTATTACTTGGACTCGAGGGTTCTGGAACAAGCACCATCTTTAAGTAGGTATGCCCCTGTTTCATTTCCATTATCATTTGTTATTTGATGGTTCCATTCTGTTGGTTGTGTTTATATATTTTTTTGTGGTTGTTGGTATTGATGTTAGGCCATACCTATACTGAGGGAAATCATTCAGTGTTTCACCGAATCTGGCTGGAATAAATACGACCAACAAAAGGAGTTCATTGCCAACATAACACACATTTCCACAATATTTTATTATATCAAATATATCATATTTAAATGATTATTACAGATTTTTCCATTGTTGAGGTTCAACAAGGAAGGAAATCTTCTTGTTGTTGCTACTGTTGAATACAAGGTAGGGGTATTTATGTCTTTTCACCAATCTTGTTGCATATTCTTAACCTATCCAATTTTGGCAGGTTGATCCTGCTACATGGCCAATAATGATCTTTAGGTTCTGCTAGAAGGATTGGAGATTGCAGTTAAGCTTCTATCTAAGACTTCACGCCAAGTACTTGATGAATTTAAGCTACCAATGTTTTACTTGATTTGGACATGAACCCTAAGATATCATACTTTGGCATGGCTAGAAGCTTTGGAGGAAACGAGACTCAAGCAAAAGCAAACATACAGAGATTTGTTGGCACATAGTAAGCTAAATAATGCAATTGTATATAAATTCTGCTTCTCTTGAGTTCATTTTTTTATAACATTTACTCACTATTGGAATAATTATTTGTATTTGACATATTAGTGAAATGAATTATCTTTGTTATTTATGGTAGTTTATTTTGTATTATGAGATTTTTAATGTGTTATTTAATTTGAAAATTTGTAACATCCGGATTCCCAGGTATTTTATTTTAACCTTTTATTTTGAGTTATAGAGAGGGACTCGACGAGTTGGCGCCTAGACTCGTCGAGTAGGATCGCGATTCGCTGATTGAATTAATGAATGGACTCGACGAGTCGGCTAGGTGACTCGACGAGTCTGTGCTGGCGGCAGAAACCCTAAGTCTTGGGGCCTATGCCCTATTGAAAGGCCTTTATGGCCATCATTTGCAGCCACTACACCCCTGAGAAACCCTAGAGAGCAGAGAGAAAGCTTGTAGTGCAAGAGGAGGGCTAATTCATCATTCTTTGGTGTGTTTTTGCAAAGAGAAGAAAGGATTTCGAGCTAGGCTGACTTGTGGGACTCAAATCTTCCAGCATTTCGTTCAGAGTTGCTGTGGGAGGTAAGGATTCATGTCTATCTTCATTTGAGTAATAGATTTCATGAATCTAGGATTTCATCTCTTCACTTTGGTAAGAGATCTAGTGTGTGTGATGTCCCCTTGTGACAATATTATCAGATCTGGACCTTGAGAGCTCCAGATAGTCCCTATTCTTCAGCTTTATGCAATCCTTTATGAGTTTTGGGGCCTAGGTTATTATATTAAGGGTTATTTTGGCATATAGAGATGATAGTGTGATGCATGGGCCTAAAGTTCGAACCTTTAAGTGACTTTTGAGTGCTAGAAGGTCAGATCTACTAGTTGGTGAAGCAGATCTGACCTCAGAAGGTCCTTTGAATGTTGCCATGGAAGGAACTCGTCGAGTCCATAATGGGACTCGACGAGTCGAGTTGGGTTGACCCGCGATTCATGACCAGTGGTGACTCGTCGGTTGGAAGGCTCACTCGGCGAGTCGAGTGAGGTTTAGATAGACCCAGAGGACACGCTTGGACTCGCCGAGTCACCTAGTGAACTCAACAAGTCTGGTCAAAGTTGACCGTTGACTTTCGTTGACTTTTAGGGTCCAGTCAATGTTTGGACTTTTGAGCCATTTGAGGGGTAAAATGGTCTTTTACCCTCCTGAGAGAACTTAGAGAGGGAATAGCCTAGCCTTTGAGAGTCGTATTAATTAGAGTAATTATTTTATGTGATTAGGCGAAGGCTAGATCAGTATTTCCGAGTTCGAGGTTTACCGAGTTATCCGAGGTGAGTCTTCTCACTATACTTTACCTTGAGTGGTAAGTAGAGTTATGTGACAGAGTATCTTGTATGCTATGTATGTGATGTGTTACACTGCATTATTTCTATGTGATTTATGTGTGTGTATTCCAGAGTTTACAGAGTTAGGACCGGAAGGTCCACAGAGCTAGGACCAGAGGGTCCACGGAGTTAGGGCCAGTGGGCCCAAAGAGTTATAGCCTCGAGTGGCTAATATGTGTTATATGTGGTATTTTGGGGAACTCACTAAGCATTTATGCTTACAGTGTTTTGTGTTATGTGTTTCAGGTACCAGTGAGGATCGCGGGAAGGCGTCGGCATGATCAGTACACACTCGTGGAGTTTTTATGTATTGTGATCTTGGGATGAATTTTATGGATTTGATTTGTGATACATTAAGATTGACAATGTTTGTGAATGAAACTATATTTTTAAAAGTGAAATTTTTTTTGGAATTTGCGTTGTTACAAGTTGGTATTAGAGCCTTGGTTTGAGGGATTCGGATGCACCTTCGAGCGCATTTGAACTCAAACTGAGGATTTGAGAAACTTTTCAAAATAAAACAAAATCTTTCTAAAGGGATAAAATGTTTTGAAAAGAGCAGAGCAGAGCAGTGTGTACGATCAGCCAGCGCCCGAACGGTGATTTCCCAAAATACCCTTATATTATGTGTTATGAGATATGATATGATATGTTATGCATGCTAGAGTAGGCTAGGTAATCTTATTAGGACTAGAGTGGCCTGATTTGTGATGCCTTAGCCTAGGGGTTTGCTGCGGAGAGATGCTTGAGAGTGAATGGATAACAGCGAGGAGCTTATGAGAGGTCTGCTAGGGAGTAGCCTATGCATAGTGAGAGTAGAGTACTTGGGATTTGGGATCCTAGGAGGAGGACTTGGGGTGAATACTGATGCGGTGTAGACGGTAGTATTGGGCCCTTACTACTGAAGACATCGGATCAGTGCGCAGTCAAGTAATAATCCTTAGGGTACTAAGGAACAAGTAGGGCTGAGTTGCCAAGTGTGAGTATGCTTGTGCGAGTCTCTGATAATTATTATGTTGTATTTCAGAGACATCATGGTGGGAACACGCCACAGACCAGAGACCAGCGGTGTGAGTGACGAGGAGCTTCGTCAGATGATCCACGAGGAGGTGGCTGCGGCTATCCGCGCACAGATTCCGGAGATGTTTGGGTCTATTAAGACCACATTGATTGAGACTTTTGATGAGAGATACGCAGCGATTATTGAGGTTGCAGCCGCTGCAGCTACCGCAACTGTTGCTGCTGCTAGACCTCAGGGTGGTGATGTGTTGCTGTTTCGGGAGTTCAGCAACATGAAGCCACCAGAGTTTGACGGGACGCAGGATCCGATTGCTGCGATGAGATGGATTTCTGACATCGAGGGATGCTTCTATACATGTTCTTGTCCAGAGCATCTGAGGGTTCGGTTCGCGCTGAAACAGCTTCGCTTGGGAGCGAAGGACTGGTGGAAGTTTGTGACAGCGCACTATTCTTCTGCAGAGCTTACCGCAGTGACCTGGGAGAGGTGCACCGCTATGTTTCGTGATGAGTACGTTCCCCCGGTGGAAAGGGAACGGTTGGCCCAGGAGTTCTTGACCCTCAAGCAGGGTACTGAGTCTGTTACTGTGATCACTAGGATGTTCCATGAGAGGGCGATGTTCTGCCCTGAGCACGTGTCTTCCGAGCAGGCACGCATGAGTCAGTATTTGAGCATTCTGAGGAGAGACATCCATGAGTGTGGCGAACTCGTCGTACCAGAAATTTGCCGAGCTTCAGGCGAATGCTCGGAAGAGGGAGACTCAGGCTAGGGAGGAGGCGGAGTCTCGTGAGAGGGATCGGCGACCGACACAGTCTCAGCCGGCAGCCAAGCGGGCCAAGCCCGCCGATTCGAGATCAGGGAACCAGAAGGGCCGCACTTGTGGCAAGTGCGGCAAGGGTCATGAGGGGATTTGTAGAGCAGGGTCTTGCTACAAGTGTGGCAAGGAGGGGCACATGGCCAAGGATTGACCCAAGGGGTTTGCAGTCTGTTTCCACTGCAACCAGACTGGAGACCGGAAGGCCGAGTGTCCGCAGCTGCAGGGGTCAGCACAGGGAGCATCATAGGGATCTGCCCCTGCCACTGTACGAGCTACCGAGAGTCAACGGGTGAAGGCCGAGGCACCGAAGGCACGAGGGAGAGCCTTCCAGTTGACAGCGGAGGAGGTCCGCGCAGCGCCCGATGTCGTGGCTGGTATGTATTCTTTCATGTATTTATTTTGGAGTTTGAGATATTGTGCTTATATTATGGTATGAGTAGGTACTTTTCTTGTGAGTTCTGTACCTGCCTTGGTGTTATTTTACTCGGGTGCGAGTCGATCTTTTGTATCATTAGCCTTTAGTCAGCATATCAGTATCAGTCGAGAAGCGTTGAGTCGACCTCTGCGAGTTTCCATAGCGGAAGAGAGAGCGGTGTATGCCACTGATGTGATTCGATGATGTGTACTCGAGATCTTCGGCGTTGAGTTTCCGATTGATTTGGTCCCGATTGCGATGGGAGATGTCTGTGTCATCGTGGGCATGGACTGGTTGAGCAGATTTGGAGCGGTTATCGACTGTGAGCAACAGCTGGTGACCATACGAGACCCTAGTGGGGGAGTTCTTACGGTGTACGGCGAAGGTACCCGTTCAGGGTCAGCGTTTTGTTCGGCCGCTAGAGCGAGGCAGAGCCTACAACAGGGCTGTAGTGGGTTTGTGGCTTATGTGATGGATACGAGGTTGGATGCGGAGAGGCCGAGATCGGTCGGTGAGGTTTCGATAGTGCGTGAGTTCCCGGATGTTTTCCCCGAGGAGTTGCCGGGTGTGCCTCCCGAGAGGCAAGTAGAGTTTCGTATCGATTTGGTTCCGGGGGCAGCGCCTATTGCTAAGGCGCCCTATCGCCTTGCACCTCCAGAGATGCAGGAGTTATCCACGCAGTTTCAGGAGATGCTGGGGAAGGGGTTTATTCGGCCGAGTAGCTCGCCGTGGGGAGCACCGATCCTTTTTGTAAAG